ATTTGAATTAAAGCTTGACTTACCTAGAATAATACAGTAACTCCTCTGAAGTATAAAAAAGAAGTATTCTCGTAGGAAATGACAACTTATCTTCAAAACCAAGAMTTTCCTGTKCCACAAGATCAGACACAGGAAGCCCAMGRTATATTTTTGCTTGTCGGCGTGTGTTGTCTATTTGATTAGATTGTCTTTCCTTTTTCCAGTTTTGAGTAAGCCTTAATCGCATTTCCTAATAGTCCACTATAAACATCCAAACACTAGCAAACAATAGAGAGCAGGGAATCTGAAACAACCGATCGAGATTTTGGCGCGCTTTTACGTGATAAGTGAGTAAAGTGGTCAAAGCTTTTGCAAATAGCAGTATAGTGGATATAAAATGTATAAAGGAATAATTATAAAAAGCTTTTAGGCTTAAAAAAAAGTTAAATGTTTACTAAGTTCTGTATGAATTTTGTTGAAGTGATGATATTCAAGATCTAGGAAAAAATAAATGAAGACGCAAAAATTCCCGCATACCTTGGGCTTCCTGTGTCTGATCTTGGCACAGGAAAGCGTAATTTGCCGTGTTTTTAATTACATTCGACTCGAGAAGACGTCTTTTTTACTTTAGAGGAGTTACTGTATTATTACACGTACCCTGCTATGCAGGGGACGTGTAGTAAAATGCTGCTTCTTTCTTGGTTTGTCGTCGTCGTCAGTTTTTTCACTATGTCGAAAGTTTGGCTTCGTTACATCTTCGCAGCCAATCACATTGTGAATTATATATCCGGTAGCCAATCACATTACGTTGTGTATTCCGAACGCTATAGCCTGTCCATAATCCCTTTCGCTACATTTTCAACTAGTTCTGCACAGCGCCATGTTGATGAATATTGTCTCTACTAACGAATATGGGACAGAACATGAAGGTTTGAGGAAGGTTTACGACCAAAATCTGGCACTCATTACTCGCCTGGGTGTTCGGACCAAGGGTATGTTGAATTATGATGACGAGGAGATCTCAAATGCAGAGATCAACACGCGCGCTTACTACTCGTGAAACAACGGCAACGATTATAATGATTGAATATCAATACAACTCTTTAATTAGAAAATGCTTATTAATTTCATGGCTATTCAAACCTCTGCAATGGATATGTCGAGTTTTGATGTAGATTTGCAAAAATATTGTGTTACCATCATAACAAAAAGTTAATAAAGCGTCACGTTGTAACCAAAGCATGCCTAGTTATATATCTGACCTTAAAATTATACTGCAGAATGACAAAGGAGGGTACAGCTGAAAGAGCAACCACATATAAGCTTATCGCAAAAATCACATATAWCTTAGCAAGCCTCGAAGGATSAAATATTTTTTTTAATTTTGTCAACAATGACTTCGCAAACATCATGTAGTAGTATATCAAAGGGTACGTGTCAACCCTGCATACAGGGTCTAGTTTTAGGTAAGTTAAGCTTTAATCAAACTAGACGCTCTGGGAGCGTGAAGTCGGACTAGCTGCTTGTGAAAATTGAGAAAGACAGGATATGACATGGATAAAAATATTTCTTAACTTTTTTTTCCAAAACAGCCGAACTCACGGTCTGACTAATAATCAAACAGCGTTTACTGCATGTCAATAAACAAATCAGAACGAGGTGGACTCGAAAATAAATTCACTTGTTTCTTGCAGTTATAACGCTTATCGTTGGTTATTGTACATTTTTATTGATCATTCTTGGTCATTGTAGATTTTTATTGGTCGTTGTAGGTGGTTGTAGGTGGTTGTAGATCGTTGTAGGTCGTTCCTCGTTTTAGTAACTACGATATTAAATGAGAATGACACCTTCATTGATTTGTAATACCTAGTGATATCTTGTAATATTTCGCTTGTTTTGTAATAACTTAATTTGTCGACCTGTTCGACCTCTGGGGAGTCATTAGTGTTCTCTTCCTTATCGACTGTTAATCGAACAGGCACTGCTAGCTAGAACAGCCCTCTCACGAACGGAAGAGGTAGCGACCATTTTAAGTCTGATGGTCTCTTCGTTATCGACTGTTAATCGAACAGTTACTGCTGGGACATCAGGACAGTTTCCTCACGAAATTCACGAAATTATGAAGAGGTAGCGATTTTGTTATTATTAATAGTCTCCTCGTTGCTTAAGATCTCCTCATCATCAAAATGGTATTATCGTCGTGTACGGGAAACCTCAGGGGAGTTTATTGTAATGTAAATTTACCGTATGCAAATTATCCCGTATGCAAATTATCCCGACCATAATTCGTGTTCACTTCGTTCTTATATATTAATTATTTAGTGAAATGTTAATGAGAAATTGTTTAAATACTAGAAAAAAAGGAGTTTAACCAAGCGAATTCACTCGTGGCGTAACCGGTTAGGTTTAGGGTTAATGATCGGAAAGGTCATATTTAGGGTTCGCAGGTTCGAATCTTATCTACGGGATCAATTTTTTTTCTAAGTGAGAACACTCGTGTGTTCGGAAACATATGACGTACTTGGTTACACGGTACACGACGATACTACCATCAAAATATAATTTATCAATAATCTCAACATTCTGACGAAAGAAGAATGTCAGATTTCCTTTCTGATCGTACACACCATGGTTCGAAAACTCCATATTTTCGGCCATATYTTTTAGCTTTCGCTTGCAATCACAGGCGTTCAGAATGTGGTAAGAACAAGAAAACTGTGATTAGAAAAGATAACTGCTGACCTGTTAATCAAAGGCTCAGCCATGCGGCAAGTGAAAGGCATGATGGGATTGTGGTCGACGGGAAGTAGTGGAAAAACGGTTTGCATTTTTCAACTCGTGCGGCCAGAGGCCTGGCACGAGTAATAATTTTGATGTATAAATGCGATTTTGATATATAAACTGCGTCGACTTCTAAAGAAACAGTTGATGCGAAAAGATAATTTTTGATGTAAAAAAATGCCAAACGAGGTAATTACCGACATTAAGGACTTTCGTCCTTTTTTTTACTCCGTCTAGAAGCACTAACTTACGATAGGTCATGCAGACTGCACTGTAAGTAGCTCTTAAAGAGATGAACTTGAGACTTGTAGAAGTATAAGCACTGCTACTAATAACTGACTCTACGTTTATTCTATACTTACAGAGAAATCGCTCTGAGTCCCAGTTGTTGCTGCTCCAATCGTCTTTTCGAGATAGCAACGCATGGTTCCAACGCGTATGATGTACTTTTTGTTGTAGTAGGAGCCACTCGCGCGGGCAGCTCTGACACCAGACCAGTTACACTCACCACTTGAAATGCTGATAGAGTGACCTGTAGTAAAGCCCAAACATTAAAAAAAAAAA